ACAGATCTGTAACAAAAGATAGAAATTGAACAGGTCATAAAAAAATTACCAACAGAAAGAAGTCCTGGGTCAGATGATTTCACTGGAGAATTCTAGCAAACATTCAGAGAAGAACTGACAACAATCCTACTCAAACTATTCCAAAACATAGAAAAGGATGGAATCCTCTCAAATCCGTTTTATGAATCAAGCATTTTGATAGCAAAACCCGGCAAAGACATCACTCAAAAGGAAAACTACAGACCAATATCCCTCATGAATATAGATGCAAAAAACATCAACAAAATCCTAGCAAATAGACTCCAACAACATATCAAATAAATAATACATTGTGACCAAGTAGGATTCATATCAGGTATGCAAGGATGGTTCAACATTAGAAAAACAATCAACATCATCCACTATGTAAATAAAGCAAAGGAGAAGAACTACATGATCATATCAGTTGATGCAGAAAAGGCATTTGATAAAATCCAACATCCATTTCTGATCAAAACTCTCAGTAAAATAGGAATAGAAGGGACATTCCTCAACATAATAAAGGGCATATATGCAAAACCAGTGGCCAACATTATTCTCAGTGGAAAGAGACTGACACCATTCCCCTTGTGAACAGGAACCAGACAAGGATGCCTTCTATCACCACTTCCATTCATCATTGTACTGGAAGTCCTAGCCAGGGCAATAAGGCAAGAAAGGGAAGTCAAAGGCATCCAGGTTGGTAAGGAAGAAGTCAGACTATCCCTGTTTGCTGATGATATGATCCTATACCTGGAACACCCAAGAGACTCAGTGAAAAATACTACTGGAACTAATTGAGAGATTTAGCATTGTGGCAGGATACAAAATCCAAAAATCAGTTGGATTCCTCTACACCAGCAAAGAGGTTGCTGAAAAAGAAATAAGGAAATCAATACCATTTACAATAGTTACCAAAAAAATAAAATACTTGGGAATAAATCTTACAGGGACACAGAAGACCTGTGGAAAGAAAACTACAAAAATACTACTTCAAGAAACCATAAGAGATCTACATAAATGGAAGAACATACCATGCTTGTGGATAGGAAGATTGAACACTGTGAAAATGTCATTTCTACCCAAAGCAATCTATACATTCAGTGCACTCCCAATCCAGATCCCATCAACATTCTTTGAGGATATGGAAAAACCAATCACTAACTTTATATGGAAAGCAAAGAGACCTTGGATAAGTAAAGCACTACCGAAGAAGAACAAAGTAGGAGGTCTCACACTGCCGGCTCTTAAAACCTACTATACAGCCACAGTAGTCAAAACTGCTTGGTATTGGTACAATGACAGATACATAGACCACTGGAATAGAATTGAGAACCCAGAAATAGATCCATCGACCTATGGTCAGCTGATCTTTGGCAAAGGGCTCAAATCCATTGAATGGGGAAGAGATTGTCTTTTTAACAAATGGTGCTGGTAAAATTGGATATCTATTTGCAGAAAAATGAAACAAAATGTGTACCTCACACCATACACAAAAACGAACTCCAGATGGATCAAAGACTTAAATATGAAACCTAAAACGATAAAGTTCCTCAAGGAGGAACTAGGGGCAAATTTAGAGGCCCTAAGGTTGGGCAATCCTACTTCCGTAGTGATAACTGCCTCAGAAACCCAAGGAGGGGTCGCTATGAGTCGGGTTTGACTCGATGGCACATAACAACAACAACAACAAATAGGAGCT